ACATTCGCCCTCTTTTTTTTTTTCTTCTCTCTCTTCATGTTTTTCTCCAAGAAAAAAAGAAGGTGAAAAAGAAGATCCATAGAACGTTGCTTATCTTTTGGGTCCATCCGTTGCGTTTACTATCATTCCGCCCCGCTGCGCTGCGCTAAGTGCATGGACTATACACTTCGATATCAACACATCTAACTGTGCTGTTAACTCTCCGCTTTGCTGTAATTCTTCACGGCTAGACCGCGGAGAGTTCCCTCGATGGTTTGAGATGCCTCAAGAGCAAACAAATCGAGATCCCGAGACCAGATGAATGCCTTTGTTTGCTTTCATTCCCTCCAGACCTCGTTGACTGGACGGGAGTTGTACTCCACCACTAACGAACAGTACCCACTTTATCTGCATCTGGACTTTACTCCGGAGACGCTAAGGGACATGATGTCTCTGGGAGTGCCATGTTCTGTCTTTCACAAGCTTATGATAAGTCTGCAACTGGCTATTGGTATTGATAGTACCTGCGTTTGGACCTGGCCCGGAATCATAGGAGAGGGCCTAGCAAAATATGTACATACATTAGTTTCAACTTAAGTACGGAGACTTGGGACCACTCGGGCCGATTGTTCGAGATGCCGGTCATGTATACCTCAGACAATATGATTTGTTTCTAAACAAATTAAAAAAAAAAAAATATTGGGACCGTGCGAGTATGCAGAGAAAGAGATGACATTCTAATTCTGCCTAATTGCTTGACATCAGTTCATTGGAGAATGGAAATAAAGTAAGAGAGAATTGTAAAAAGAGAGAGAGAGAGAGAAAAAAGTACCGGCATTTTTAAGAAGACGGGAGTGGCACAAATTCTTGGGAGTCGAGCGAAGCGCCGTAAATCGGTGGAAATACCCATACGTATATAAATTACGTAGATTACAGTGAGTACTCTTCAGCGTCGCTCTAGGCTTCTTTTCAGACATCATAATATTCCTCTTTTCCTCTTTTTATTTACTTTCTGGTCAATTATCTATAATATATCAGTATTTGACATTGACTTATACTTGGTACATTGCGTGGTCGGCAGTAAACTGCCCGTCCCACACATTTCCATTCTCTCCCCTCCATCTTTCTTCATCTCTGCCACTGGATTCTCAACTTGTCTTTTGTTCTCGGGAGGATACTCCCTTCCATCCAAAGGATATATCTTTTCGGGGCATGAGCGTTTGGAGGGTCTAGCCCCCCCTCCACGACTCAGGAATTCCCAAGAGGCGTCGAGGCTGGGTGGTGGTCTCCCGATCCATCGTGCGTTGCGCTCATCCCAGTCGTCAGCTTAATTATCTTATTACCATATATTATTATTACAAGATCCGTTCCGTGCTAATAGGCGTTTTGCGTTGACAGACCCTGGTCGTTGGCTGAATTCTGCCAATCGTCTCTCGCTTGGCTGCATTCGATCATCAACTTCCGGCAAGGGTCTCGTTTACGGCGGGTACGGGGGAATTTCGATTCAACCCACCTATTTTGCCGTTCATCCCCCCACCCACCGTCTCTATTTGAATTACCTTTTCCCTCTCATCGAAACCCTCTCCATCGGAGATAATGGAGGGGATAAATCATGGAGGGCACGGGGGAGCCCGGCCATCCCAGTCTATGGCCTTCCCCGGCTTCGACGTCGACTCTCATATGATGTCCGATGATTTCTCCTTCGATTCTCCATTCAGTCCCTCCGGTTCTTCCAACGCCAATGATGGTGTCCTCGGCAACTCCATCTTTCCTGAATGGACGAGTGGTGCACCGCGTGGCGAAAGTCCCGATGAAATGCAAAGAAAGGATCCGCTGGCCGCACAGATTTGGAAGCTATATACCAGGACAAAGTCTCAGTTGCCCAACCAAGAGCGCATGGAGAATTTAACATGGCGCATGATGGCTATGAACCTCAAGCGCAAGGAACGAGAGCAGCAAGCTCGGTAAGAAACACTCCTGCGCACCCTTGAAGCATATAGCTGATTTACTGGCCTCCGGACAGTGCCTCGGAAACTATAAGCCCGGCACCAAGCGGTATCGCGCAGATGCGCTTGTCCGATCACCCCGCTGGCCCCGATCTTTCGCAGGATATGAACCTCGATGGCACTTCGGATCCAATGAATTTGGATGACTTCATCATTCCCTTTGATTCTCCCGCCGAACACCCTTCACATCCTTCTGCCGATCGACACTTCACAGCAACACCGACTGGATCAATTCCTATTAAATCGCGCAAGGACCATGCGATGATGGAACAGTCGACCGCCGCCTCATTCCCACACCCACCCCAGGATCAGCGAACAAACTCTGAGTTTGGATATGTCGCCCGGAGAGTCCGCAAAACGAGCGTCGACGAGCGACAGTTCTTCGCCGGTCTCTCTGTTCCAACCCGCAAGCGACCTGCTGAGGCCTCGCCTCAGGTTCCCCCGGTGTCCAACGCTATGCTGGCGCAGCACTCTGAGCTGTCAGCAGCACTGCCAGATTACTCGCTTGATAATCCACCTTCTGCCTTTGCTCTTCCCGGCAATGGTACAGTTGGTCCACGCAGACCTCAGCACCATCACTCGCACTCTAACATTCCCTATGGATTGGATACGTTTGGCATCAGTGATGATCACGGGATCAACTCGGCCGGGGCTTACCAGCAACACTTCCATTTTTCGCCCTCAGAGTCTCCGATGACTACGGGAAATCCTTTCTCCAGTCTATATGCCCAAACGCCGCTCGCCTCGTCGCTCAACTCGACCGAGTTCTTCTCTCCCCCGCCTTCTGGCTATCAGTCTACTGTGTCGACCCCGCAACCGATTTTTGAAGGGGAACAATCGATATTCTTTTCTGATGCGCCTTCCGCTGAATCCCACTCCCAGCGACGTATTCCTAACTATATCCAGCAGCGTCAGTCGAACCTGTCTGCATCCCTGCAGCCACGTTATATGTACAACATGAACGGCGATTCCCACCCAGGGAACGCAGTCACAGGGCCACCAACCACTCACGTATCTGGATTCTCGGTTCCACAACCGCAGCATATCAACCCGTCACAGGTGCTTGGTCATGGCGAGTTCTCCACAACCGCGCCTGCTACCAGCATGTTTACCTTCGGAGGAGATTCAGACAATGAGGATGATGATGGCAACTTTGGTGAACGCGGTGGCATGGCCATGCCAAATGACTTTGCCTCGATGGATGAGTCTGGCGATATGAGCGCTGGTCTTCATTGGGATGGAGGCTTCCCCGGGTCAGTACAGTCGCTACCAGGCTTCCCTGCTCAGCACCGCAAGCATGTTACGATAGGATCCACAGACATGATGGATAGTGAATGGAACCAGGGAGGCACTCTTGGTCGTGCGCACGGCTCCGTTGCTTCGGTTAGCGATGTTCGCAACCAGAACCAGGATCCTCGTCGCTACGGAAAGGTCCCTCGCACAACATCGACCCCCAATGCTGCAGCACTGCTTCGTCAGAGCTTGAATGGCTCAGCCAGTGGGCCTCCGACAAACCACCCCTCGCCAAGCACCCCTCCAGAGTCCGGCCTCAGCAGTGCGGTACCCTCCCGACCAGGCAGCCCTGGTGGGTCGAAAAACGGTGACCCGAACGCAGGACCGACCACCTGTACCAACTGTTTCACCCAGACCACCCCTCTCTGGAGACGCAACCCAGAGGGCCAGCCTCTGTGCAATGCATGTGGCCTGTTCCTGAAACTCCACGGTGTTGTCCGACCACTTTCGCTCAAGACTGATGTGATCAAGAAGCGAAACCGCAGCAGTGCCAACACCCTTGCTGTTGGTACTTCTCGGTCATCTAAGAAATCTTCGCGCAAAAATTCCATTCAGCATGCCCCATCCACATCGATTTCATCTCGCATCAACACTTCTGAGTCACCCCCCTCGATGAATGGATCCAACACGCTGGGGAAGCCCGGTGTTGTGCCAATTGCCGCTGCTCCGCCCAAGTCTGGTCCTCCGGCTGGCGTCGCTCAGGCTCGTGCCGGTGTACAAGTGGCACCCAGACGGCAGCGGAGACTCGAGAAGGCACCGACTGGATCCGACCCAGATCCCGACGAAAGCCCGAAGTCAGCCGCTCCTACGAGCCGGTCCAAAGTCGTACCATTAGCTCCGGCGATGGCACCACCCGCTGCCGCAAACCCGGCGAATCACAGTATCGCCGGTGGGCAGGGTGCGAGCCAGGAATGGGAGTGGCTGACAATGAGTCTGTAGTCGGCTTCTACTACATGACCCCCTTTCTTCTACTGAGTTTCGTTGATGTGTGACGGGGCTTGCCGCCACTATAATCTCACGTATTACACGACTTATGTCCTCGGCGGTCGTGCCTTTATTACTCCCATATTTTCCCTGATTACTATACGACATGTGCTTTTTTGTTGATTTGATTGATACAACCGCGTCTGTCCGGGACCTGAGCTGCCTATTATGTTTTGACGTTTATGTTTAGTTTCTTTTTGTTTCTTTTGTTGTCTCGCAGCTCGGACCCGGGCAGAAGTGCGCATCTCTCTCCTGTTTTTTGGTCTTTTTTGATATTTTTCTACTCTATTCTTGGATTTCTTGCGCTGCTGAGCAGGCTTTGATTAATGGATCTTGTTATCCTTGCGTGATTACCTTTAGACATGGAATTCAATATGATTATGATTTTCTCCAAACCATTCTCTCTCCACGTTGGGCTTATCACTTTTGGCTGTAATTGAGCCCTAAATGCCATATTTTTTCCATCAGCAGGCTGAACGAAGAATTACATCACAACTTGATTCACCCCCGGACATTAAGCCGGGGACACAATTCACGTCATGGCGACGAATCGTGGGACGGGACTCATTTTCGAGCAAGGATCGAAATGAATTAGTTTGTTACAAAGCCCAGTCAGATCGCAGTGTATTGAGCCCGCAATCAAACTAATATCAAGTTAGCTGGAAACTTTAGCAGGCAGTATGAAACCCCTCTTAGTCAATATTAATATGGCAAAGCTAATTTCTTCAACAGGGCGATATGTCGAACACAGATGGTGAGTACCGATCTCATGGTCCATGGATTTCCATCAATCATACACAATCCACTCACACATAGCAGAAGCCTCTAAACCTTTCACCACCAAAACGAACACCACAGATAGTGTCGTCGGCCGCGTCCATGAATCTGCTAGTCATGCACGCGAGAAGATAGCCCAACAGCTCCAACCCGGTGCGTACTTACGGTGATGATGGCGCGTGGCCTTTGCGAGCGAATGAGAATCGATATAGCGTTGGGCGCAGTGTTTCCTCTTGCTTCTTGAGTGCCAGCTAAACATACTAATTACGTTCTCAGGAGATACAAATGCAACGACTCGTCGCATGTCAGATACACCCGGTAATGACAGTATCTGGCAATTCGGACAAGGTGGTTCGAGAGAAGAGAGAGACTATGGGCTGGAGAGGGATAAGTCTATGCTGCAGTCAGCGCAAGAGACGGTTGCTAAGGCTCTTGGGGGAGGCTCTCGTGGTTAGTTGCTGATTATGGTGGTTATTTTATTGTGGTGCTAATATAATGGTTCAGGTGCAGATTAAGGATCTGGGAAGCTAGGTACAAATGAATTGTTATATAGAATGGAATCTCATGCGATATGTTTATATATCCCTTAGATAATTGATTAAACTGTTCTTTCTCCTATTTTTCTATTAATCTATCCTTTCTGGTGAATAGATATCGAATGGATGTTGTGGTGGATTCGCATTGTCGAGTTGGATCTCTTGGGATATCAATCTCGTTTGTATGAAGCTTATATCAATTTACTGTAACAACGAGGCTATAGAAATAGAAAACTCTTCATGAGCTGGAATAGCACGGCTAAATTACAAACAACAGCAACGTTGTACTGAACGAAAACAATATATCATAATATACTTCCCAATCAGGGAGTATCCAGCCTCAGGCAGCAACTGATAAATCACGTGTGATACCAGAGCAAAAAAAGGAATCACCGACAGCCATCCATCTTCATCAATCAATTAGATTTGCAGCCATGGGTTCCAGTTCTAAAAGGAAGAAGGAGAAGCAAAAGGACTTTCAGGTTAGAATCGCATACATCTATCTCTTTTGTCCAGCCCACTAACCTCTGCAGAAACCTAAACTCAGGGTTGGGAAAACCAAAGCGAAGCCCGACAACTACACCGATACCAGTTTCAAATCGAAGTGTATGTGCATATTTTCTTAGCTTGAAGTATTGTCATGCTCACGATTACTAGCAATTGTCCTCACACAACAATCCCTCCACCTCAACGCCCCAACTTCAAATGCCACATTCACGCATAACTTATCTCTCCTCAATGTCAAGTCCGACAGCCAACGACGCGACTCCCTCGCTTATCTGACTACTACTATATCCTCCCGACCAGTAAATTCGCCTCTGCCACAACCGGTCAGCGTCATTCTACCATCTTTGCTCCCGCTCATTCTCGATGGCAGCAACAGCGTACGGACCCAGCTTCTCAAGCTCCTGCGGACCCTACCGCTAGGCGATATAGAGGACCACGTTGCCCAACTCCTGCCCTACGTTCGCGCAGGAATGACCCATCTTGGAGCGGACATCCGCAGTTCTGCTGTCGAGATTCTATCATGGATGGTCGAGGTAGCAGGAGAAGCAACCGTTTCCTGCGCAGGAGGATGGATCAAAACACTCAACTGCTTCTTGTCTGTGTTGGGCTGGCACACCGAGGAGTCATCACAATGGTCCTCAAGTCGGGCTTCATTTGGCAAGGCCGGTAGCCAGGGCAAGCCCATGGTTAAAACGCTTGTGGCTCTAGCGATGTTTTTGGATGCAGGTATTGGAAAACCTTTTATCGGCGGTATCGATAGTGAGATGCCTGGTGATGACGAGAGCGCCGACTGGCCGTTCCCTCTTTCTCAGACCGCCCAGCACATGATCTCAGACTCATCTACCCCATTCGCATATCTGAATCTGTTTGGGAAGCCGCGCGACGAGGAAGGAGAAATGTACGAAACCCGTGAAGACAGGTACCGGGTGTTCTCCACTCGTTTCCAATCACCAATTGAGCGAGGGCTCAAGGGTGCCAGAGAGGAAGGTGGTGAACTGGGCCGTGCATCATCCGGTGCGACCAAGGTGTTAAAAGAAGCGATTGCGTATGGGCCCGGCCCATGAATATGATCAGCCGAGGCTTATGAGCAAACCCCAATCCATCCAATAGAATGGAATCGCGACCTAGGGCCGAGAGCCTTTTTGTGGGCTTTATAGGTGAAGCCACCAGTGGACCACGCATCGGATTCAAGCTCGGGCATCAATGCCACGTCGGTCTTTACACAGACGGTCTCGCCCTGCGAACACTGCAACCAGCGCCGCATAGACCAATCGGTACGCCCCTCGGCTAGGGTGGTCGTGGGCTTTGCGCCCCTTGCAGGTAAAAGCAAGATTTATGCAATAACAAGGCTTCGAGTCAGAGAGGCCTTACGCTGGAACTCCATATATCTTTTCATGAAACATCCATTTTGGTCATCCATCCCTATAGAGCTAGGAAATCACACACAAAATCCACTAATGTTACCCGTGGAATATTTATTTTCCAGACATTGTGCCCTGATCGGTTCTGTGGGCTGCCAATTATTTCTCTCCTTCTATAGGCAACTGAAGGGATGATATGGGAATTGAGGGCTGGATTTCTATTTGTTCGTAAAAGCTATTCGGTACAGACATAGAAGGTCTAGAGTCTTATTATTGAGTATATACTCCGTGCGCATTCATATGTTGTACATGTATGGCGTATCTCAGATCCCAAAGGTTAAACCTACAAGATAGGCTTTGGAACAAACAGGTTATATATGTTGACTCGTTCGTTATCGTGTGGAGTTTCCTAGTGAAAGTGGGTTCCTTTGCATATTTGAGACAAAGAGGGGAAGGACTTGACATGTCTTGCGTGGGTTTGTACTGTTCAATTTTTTCCATTTAATTTTAGGGCTCGGGGAATTGGGAAAGGGAATTGAGGACCATGATGTTGACTGCAGATGCGAGGAAAAGCGTTTTTTCGGAGATTAATGCAGGAAAAGCGTAACCACGGTGTCAGTACTTACTGTATAGGTAATGGGATATCAAGGCAAGGAGAGGATGAAGTTTGGATTGTACCCTGTCTCTGTACAGAGTGCTCTGGACTCCGTACTTAGTTTGTGATTCATTCTTCCAGAATCCTATGAATTTTCTCTATGGGTCTTCTAGCGCTGTTTGCTCTCGATAGGTCTTTCCCTTTCTATTATGATCGAGATTAGTAGTGAATGTTAGCGCCCTGTTGATCTCCAGGGCTCCAGGGCTAAACGTCCATCCCTGCTCTATCCCTGCCTAGGTGTGATTTGTATGGGGTGCATATTGACATACTGACACATTGGTATTCAAATTATTCAAATCGGGATATATTGATTTTATTTCTGATACAAGGATGTGAGCCATCACCCTCTCATTTCCCGTACTTTTCCAACGATCCATGATCGACTGTCTTTACCCGGGAAGATCCCTCAAAGCTGATCTGTAGAGCTCCGCTCTAGGTAAACTCTTTCATCGGGAGGATCCTTAAACATGTGTTTGGCTTGAAAGGTTTGTTTCCGACTTTGATACCTCACATCCAATGTGGAGCACCCACAGAACACGGAGTACAGGGCGCAGCCTGACGTTTTTCTTCCCCCTTGCATTCATATAAGGGGATCAAGGACAAAAAGCCAATTAGGAAACAACAGTTCAATTAACAATTAGTCTGTGGTTGGCTAGCATTGTCTTGCCACAATGTAAAGGGCAAAAGGACCAAGTCCCAGACGGCAGCACACAGCGGAGTAGTGGCACCGAGTTTGCTAATTGCTGTATCATATTACTTTTGATTCTATACATCGCGAGTGCCACTTGAGCGAACAGGCTACCCACACCTTGCTTGGACGAATCTCCTTTGAACTTTTCATTATCTGCAGGACCTGGTCGGATTTGTACCGTTTTAGCCTCAACCTGTCTGTGGCCTTCCAGGTTCCCGAGGGGTTCCCCGAGTATTGCGTCTTAGATCCCAAAGTAAGGATGCGACAGCTCACTTGAGATCCTATAAACTCTCTCTCTCTTCCCCGTCACCTCGTACTTTGGACTTTTTGATTTCCTCATCTACGCCACCTCGCCAACTTTCGTCGACTTTGTACATATCGACACCCCCTGTATATAGTGGTGTCAACTTGTATCGACGTATCATATTCCACGATCCATATAACCCTCCCACACCCCTATCGTGTTGGCCTTCTTGAGCAGGTGAGCATGTCGTGCTCCCGAGACTATGCCTCGGTTCATCTCTCTAACTTGGGGAGTATAGCATTGTCTATTGCTTTACTCATTGAGCATCCTGGATTTCCATGTCGACGCCCCGGAACTGCCCGGATTGCAAAGCTAGTAATTGACAATCCGTCTCCCTATGAATCAGCGTGATTCACCATATGACTGTGCCATCGCACCAAGCCCAATCGTTCGGACTTATCGACCTGATCCCCCCTCAAAACGAAAGCTATCCAACATGACGTCCACAAAGACTGGGCCACCACCTAGGCCTCTAGTTGTCCCCAGGCCTCCAGGCACCAGCGCTCCACGACCTGAGGCCCGATCAGCAGGTACAGCTGAAAGAGCTGGTAGAAATGAAAGCCTAGTCGACATGGTTCGATTCTTCCAGACTCAAAATATGCCTGTTCAGCCCCCTGCAGCTCAAACTCCATCTCAACCTCACTCTCGAGCTCCGTCTCAAACTCAACCTTCGAGTCCTTCCGATACAACTACTGCACTGCCCGTTCTTATTTCACCTAAACTGTCGCAGCCAGAATTCAAGCCAGCTCCCAAGCCGGAATCCAAGCAGGACCAGAAGCAAGATCAGAAGCAAGATCAGAAGCCATTTCATCGACGCCTCTTGCAGTTTACCCAGCGCCAAAAGAAACCATCATCGCCAAGGTCAAAAGAAGAAGAACAACGGCGCCAAATTGAAGCTCTCACAAGGGGAGGGTTTATCATCCCAGATCGTCCTCTTAACGAGTCAAAGGGACAAAAAGATGCAAAGCGATCGAAAGAAAGCGTGTCACAATCTCTCTCGCGATCTCTTTCCAAATCAAAGAGAGACGTGGAAAACATTGGGCAGCCATGGCTGCAAGCGAAAGTTGAAAGCACCAGGCCATCGACCGAGACAAGACGTCGCCTGGCCTCTTTGGATCTTGATGATTTTGGCTCAATGGTCGACGTCGCAGTCTCACTCAAATCTTTCGACGATTCTGTTCCGCCACCATATCAACCAAATGAAAACACCCCCTCTCAATCGTCCTCAGCTATCCCGACGGTAAACTCCGAGGCAGATCCCAGCCCTCACGATATCACCCGACCAAGTTCCTCATTGGCTTCTACCAGTCATTCCTATAGAGACGCCTCAATTGATGAGCAAATCCGACGGCCATCTACCTCTACAGAGCCGAGTATTCGTGTTGAACCTGTTTCACGAGTGTTCGTCAATGCATCCTTGGGCGTTAATGCGACAGAGTCGTTGCCCAGACTATCTATTGATAGCCAAAAGCGAAATTCGTCAGAACAATCTTCTCTTCGCAATGGGAAATCATTATCACCCACCTTGAAACTTTTCCCTACTGTTGCACCTCCTCGCAAATCTAGCAAGGGCGCTTTGAGAAATTCATCAATTCCTCGGTACCAAACGATCGAAAATCTGACAGCATTACCTACATCTCCGGCATCCATTTCACTAACTCGAACTTGTGAAAATGTATCCCAAGTTCCAGATGAGCCGAAAGCATCATCAGATGGCTCACTGGGGGCCCCAATTAGCGAGCTGGAATCAAAAAGCTCAGATGCTCTTAAATCTTGTTCGATGACTTCTGCAGCGGCGAAACCTGTTGAAAAAGCCCCCAAGGATTCTGCATTGCAAGATGAGACTAAAACTCAACCGCTCTCGTTGTCTCCAGGCACGCTGATGGCATTTCCTCTACCGGCACCCACAAAGCCGCTTCCATCACCACCCAAAGCTAAATGCTCGCCGAGCACTCCAGACACCGACGCTCAACCTATTCAAGCGATTGGTCTAGAGTCCTTGTCCTCCAATCTTCAACCTATTTCGGCGACACTCGCTGATGACCAGGATGTCAAATCCACTGTCGATAGTCCTTGTACCCTTGACTCGCTCCTGGAAATTGCTCTTGGCAGCGCCGGTGCTGGAGAGTTGATAGCCGATGATGAGGAAAGCTCGTTTACCACCTCGCTTTCCGAACACTACCAACCCACCCCAGAACATTGCACTCCGAGAGGACGTGTTTCAAGCGTGCGCATCCCTCGAAGTCAAGGACTCACTGATAGTCCTCCAAGTCAATGCGATGTAGAGGTTTCAGAAGGGCAACCTCTGGCCGACTCTCCTGTACTAGGAAACACTCCCATTATAAAGCCGATGGACAAACGTGCTGTCCTGAAGGGACTTCAAATCAATTCTCAAGCCAGTCGAAAGAATCTTCCATTCGGTTTACCATCCCCTCCACCCACGGCATCACTCCCATCAGCTCCACCTCCTCAGCACCCACCACCGCCGCCTCCTGGGCGAAAGCTCAGCCAACGCAAACACACTGCGCCTAACGTGGCTATTCCACTGTCGATGAGGAACCTCGAGGCAAATCATGCACTAAAGCCGTACCGAGGCTCGACCATATCCCGGAGTGACAGCTCAGGGAGCAGTCTTAGACATGAGAGCTTCCCTGAGTCTCGCCCCGAGTCCCCGCTTCCATCATCAGACGATGAGGTCTTTGGTCCGGGTATAAATGCCCAACGCTCGCGTCGGGAGGTCGACAAATATCGGCGCACCCAGCCACCACGGCTGGGATATAAGACAATGGATCCACGACAAATATCCAACAGTCGACTCCGATACCCTAATCCCGCGCGCCCTATGACACCTCAAAGCCGCAGTATGCACAATCTTGACAGGGCTGCGTCCCCTCATTCACAATATTCTCACTCAACCCACAGATCGAGGGAGTCCCAAAGTAGTCAAAACACCCGCGCTGCTCCTCAAATGGATTACTACCTCGAGGATCGGGTTGCAAATCTGGAACGCCAGAACCAGATTCTACAGGCCGCCCTGATGGCGGCGCTCAATGCTGGAGTCAAGAATCCTCTTGATGGTCTCAATCTTGACCCGAACGTGTCATCAGGCTTCCCACACGCTCCCTTTCAGAACCAATACTCCGGCCGCCAGGCATCGCGGCCCGACAGCTGGGTCAGCTCTTCTCGAAGCAGTGAGCACGGCGGGTTCGATACTTCTAGTTCACAACGAGATACCCGGGCAAACGTCAAACAGCTGGACAACATGATTGAAGACATTGAGTCTGGATGGCTGTCGGATAAGTCCAGTTTCACTGGGGCTCGAATTGCCCGCAAACGATAAATAACGATCTCTTTATTTTTCTTTACATGTTTTTGACACCTTCATTGCGTATGGCGGAACGATGTCACTCCCTTGTTGGCTTCTGATGATTTTTTTGGGCTTCCGTTTCTACATATCCAGGCCCTGTCTAGCCTTGCCTGTATTCTCCATGATACCATTTTGTTTTGTTTTTTCTGTCCTTGTTCTTATCTACATATCATCTCAATGAATGCTGCGCTGTATATCCCTCGAAGCAACAATTCTTTAGATCTATAAAGTCCCACGTTGAGATTGATCCAGTACGCTGGATGAATCTGCCACATTTAATTGAAGATTCTTCATAATTATTTTAATAATACAGATGAGGGTTTTCAGTGAGATTTGGTCACTTTTCCAGTACTTGAAGAGCGTAAACAGACAGGATGATACTATCTATCATCCATATTTTCGTGCCCATCAAAATGCTTAGTCATTTGTTTTGGAGACGCCCAAACGCAGCCAACTTCTTGGGCTCCATGTACTTCAATTATTCTGGCTGAAGTAAAGTTCATAGCGGAAACAGCAATTGCAAATACAGGAGGTGCTCGGTGCTCAACTAACCCACCCCTAACCATACCCTCCCACACCGCAACCCAACACTCTTCACATTCCCCGCGGAACCCCCCAGTCATGGCGAACTCAGGACAAGTAAGTACAATATCTCCTCCAAATACGCTCAAATAATCTAACAAACCCAAAAGCGCACACAGCAAGTCCCCCAGCATGTCACCGCGCTACTCTCACACCTCACCTCCCGCCCGGGCGTGCAATCCACCTTGATCCTCTCCCGCAAAGACGGATCCATCATTCAAAGCACAGGACAGCTAGCACAAACGACTGAAGAAGACAGCACCTCTCGTACCGCACACATCCCTGCATCCACATCTGAACCAGCCTCTCTATCCACCACCCAACCAACAGACCCATCCCCTACCCCTTCCACCGCGTCACAACCCTACCAACCCTCGCAAGCCGAAACACTAGCTGCCCACATCTTCGCATTTGTCTCCAGCGCCGAAGCACTCGGCATCTCGCTCTCGCGACCCACGCTCACTGTACAGCGACCTAGCGACGCCCACTGGGACGTTGACCGCGACTATGCGAACGAGGGTACGGCACGTGAGGAAGATCGGGACGGCGATGGTATCGATCGGGATGAGGACGGGGAAGTCAAGCTGCTGAGAATGCGCACGAAAAAACATGAAATTGTGGTTGTTCCGGATCGAAAGTACCTGTTGTGTGTCGTACATGATGCTTCCCCTGGTTCAGCGCCTGCAGCGGGATCGCGTATCCGGTAGGCAAAATATTATTCTTGATTGGGGTTTGGGCATGACATCCAACTACTATTGTGTGGTGCTTTCGGGGGGTTCTTGTTTAAGGGGGCTTGTTTTGTTGGATTTGGACTTTATACATATACCCGATGGAAGCAAAATCTTGCATTTAATTCGTGTTTTCCATGTCATGGCTGTGTGTAGAATGTCTACATATGGCTTGCTAAGAGATAGGTGTGTACATATACAGTTCTAGCACAGTACTGTTCTTCATTGCTTTATGGAGGGACGATGCCGCGAGTAATTTGGCTGTTCCCGTTGAGGGAACTTACTCCTTCCCTTCATAGAGATCCCAAGCTCTTGATGTATAAGTAGAGCCCAGATGTCCACTCAGACCCTCGGATAGAAATAGAATCAAAGTACAATGCAGCTTGAGACCGGAGTAAATCCGTAACAGCTCCACTGTTTACCCCTCTCAGTCGGGGCTGACGATTATCAAGTGGACGAACATTCTTCATGATTGACAATTCCCATGTCGAAGAGTGCATTTATTATCTAGCTAATCTCAAGTGAATCGAGTATCATTCAATATGGCCTCTACTCTCGATATTTCAGCAGCTCGTTCTCGCTTCCCTGCACTACAGCAGGAGCAAGTGTATATGGATAACGCTGGTGAGATGAATCTCCAGTCTTATAGCTCTGGCAGCGGAAAGTGATACTAATAATTGAACTACAGGCGGAAGCCAGGTTCTCGATACCGTGGCCGACTCGTTAGTCTAATCCCATCATATATTTATATATATTGACGCGACCACAGCATCCGTTCTTACTTACTAAACACAAATGTTCAGCTCGGGGCTAGCTATAAAGTGTCACAGATTTCAACTAATGTGCATGAAAATGCCTACCAAGTGGCTGCTGGGTTCACCAACGCCGCGACCGAGGAGGTATCTGCATAATCCCTGGCATTACTTCCCAAGAAGTATAAGCACTGCCAAACCTCGGGTGCTAACGCATGAAATTTGAAACAGATCAGCATTGGTATTTCAACCACCCAGCTCCTGCACAATCTCTCTACAGCGCTGAAATTCCAACCGGGCGATGAACTGGTTGTATCCAAACTCAACCACGAGGCCAATACCTCCCCGTGGATCCATATAGCAGAGAGATTGGGCCTAACCGTAAAGTGGTGGGCTGCTTCCGACCCAAGGAATCCACTATGCGATCCAACCGAGTTGGAGTTCCTGCTCTCCGATAAGACCAGACTCGTAGCATGTCCCCATGTCTCCAATATTACCGGCACTATCAGTCCCATCCGAAAGATCGCAGACGTTGTTCATGCTTATCCCCGTGTGAGTAACAAGAAATCCTGTTGCTGGCTATGCACTTGCTCACCCGACTTATACAGGCACTCCTGTGCGTGGATGGAGTCGCCTTCGCACCACACCGTCAGGTCGACGTGAAAGCGTTAGACGTGGATTTCTACGTAAATTGCAACCCAAGCCTTTGCATGACTGGTTTATTGCTGATCTCCCCCACTAGGCTTTCTCCTGGTACAAAGTGTACGGACCACACCTGGCGCAACTATATGCCTCGTCACGGGTTCACGACCAGATCCTGTCACTGGGTCATTTCTTCAAGTCCACGGATACGCTGGACTTGAAGCTCAATCTGGCATCGGCTAATTATGAGCTTACGCAAAGTATTCCCCAGGTTGTGGAGTACTTTGGGTCTGATCCTAGCGCGACCTGGGCCCAGATGGCGGAGCACGAGGAGCAGCTGCAACAGATTCTACTGGAATTCTTAGCTTCTGATAGTCGGGTTGAAGTTATCGGTGAACCTTCGGCCAGCAAGGAGGTTCGCGTGCCGGTTATTAGCTTTGTTGTGCAGGGAGTGGGCAGTCAGCGCATTGTGGAGGAGGTTGAACGTCGATCGGCCTTTGGGTTCCGCAATGGTCATATGTACAGCTACCGGCTACTGGCCGACGTGTGCGGATTGGGTGATGTGGAGGACGGGGTGGTGCGGGTCAGCTTCCTGCACTATAACACCGGTGAGTGGGTATCTTGATAGGATTCGTTCGATAACTAACAAGAACAGAGGGCGAAGTACGGGGGCTGGTAGAGGTATTGCGAGAGGTGTTTGCGTCCTTGTAGATAATTGTATATGTACAGCTTAGGCTGTCTGGATACCGTTTATCGCGCTATGCTATGAAGAGTGTTTTATTCGATGCGTTTTTCGCACACTGTAAGTACTCACTATTACAATATACATATTTTGCCACCTGTCTTGTCATGATATCTAGGGAGGTCTGAACTTTCCAGAAATCTATAGATCTTGAAGCCTAATACATTTCTCTTTTTCAGCCTAAGTTCCCACCGTGAGGTCATATGAGTTCAAATGTTTTGTACACCCGAGGTTCCCCAGCTCCATCTGGAAGGCTGCAGGCAACCCCAACCAGTGCCGATCGCAATATTGAACCAATCAGCATAGAGATAATTGTGGAATAATGGAAATGATAGTGGATCGCAGCCTAACAGCCGCGCGTGGATTGGTCAGGATTGGCCAGGATTGGCTAGGGTGTAAAGACAGCGTGGCAAGCGGCTTTATGACTCAGTGAAATTTGAACAGAGCCTTCAGACTGGATTATGCTGAATGAACTGTGATTCCTGCTGATTTGTTCATATGGGATTTCTTGAATAAGATTCATCTCGCTATGAGTGGCTACACAGACATTAAGGTGTCACTGCATGGTCATTCTATGGGTTTAGATATTAATATTTTGGTAGAATATCATGATTAGGATAGAGATAGAATATACGATAGAAGATACATCTGATAGAGTGTAGTGGATAGGGTAATAGTAGATAATAGCATATAATAGTCCGGAGTATAGAATATATAAGAAAAGGTGCGTGAGTCACCGTCGTACCACTTCAGGGCTTTCTCTCTCCCTCCTATCTCGGAGTCACTCACGCCGCATCCGGATCCTTTTCCCCCTCTCATCTCTTCGAGATAACTTCATCTCCTGATATCAATAAGGAGAGTAGAATATTTGACTATATTCTATTTCTATACGTGGTCCCTGCGCCTCCCGGCATCTTCCTAACCCGCCACCCACCTTTCTCGCCACAGCACTTTCATTTTCCCCTTCTCTCATTTTTTGCCCCCTCTTAGTCAAACTAACCCAGACTTTGAGAGAGGAAAAAAAAAGAGTCATAGGTTGGTTCTTAAATATCTTCCTTCTGACTCTTCATCACTAACACTCTCTCGCCTCCCCTATCAGCCTCCACTTCCACCCCCCCCCGACTCTCCTTCTCTGCCTAGCCGCCCTCAACGACTGCCTTGTACAAGCCGCCACCAGCGTGGTTCTGCCTGTCCATGGTGTTGGGTGCCTTGATATAAACTCTTTCTATCACACGACTTATTTCAAAATGTACCCTATTGATTCCTTCGTTCCGATCGCCTTTGCTACTGTTACCGACCTCCGCATCGTCACCGTCTCTGGCTCCATCTGAATACCACTCATCAGAAAGAGTCATATCCCCGCCACGTGCCCCTGCTTTGGTCTATATCAGAAGCACTTGGTTGATCGGATCGTGAATACGTTTTCCTTTTCTTGTCTTCATAGTTGATTACTTTCCCCCCTTTCACCTCTTCTTCTACCCGCTACACCCGGCGGTTCCGCTTATTTTTCTACGTCTGGTTATCAACCTGGCTCTCTACATTTAAAGGTCTGCCGTCGCCTAGCTCGCAAAGACGGCTCTGTCTCCTCGGCTCTCGTTCCCGGTTCCCTGCTTAACGGTATCTTGACACTACGGTTCCAAAAATCGGACCATCTCGTTTTATCCGGCGGTTTTCATTTGAACTTTGTTCACAACAAACGCCCTAAATGAACTCTACACTTTCGGATATGTCAGGGATGGACGTCTTGGGCTTGACCCTTTCAAACCCAAGCTCCCATTCGACAGCGTCTCACCACGCTCACCCCTATGCCTCCTCGATCTCCTCCTCCGCATCCTCCTCTTCCTCATCTGTATTCTCCCTCGATTGCGTCTCGCAGAGTTCGATATCATCCACATCGACCAACCCCGTTGACGTGATTTGGGAGAATGAGAGCAATAGCCATTTGGCAGGAAGAAATCCGAACGGAGCTTGTTCCCGGGCTTTTGCCAAGGGACCTGCTCCCAAGGTGGACGGTGTAGTGCCATCCGAGTTGCGAACGCACCCTCGGCGCACTAACAGTTATTCTTCTAGCGCTCCCAGTGCGCGCCCTCCGCCATGTCTGCTTCGGCAGTCGGAACGGAAGGTGAACTTCGTCGATAACCTCGTCGGTAAGTCTTGAGCAAAGAAAAAAAAAGGCTTGTACGCTCGGCTAAACATTCTTCCCTCATTCAAGACACCGCATCACAGATTGTTGAAACTGTCTGGCCCCTTTCCGCCGCAGCATCCCGCAGTGACGCCGCGACCGGATCCAAAGGGGTTCTTCCTCTCCGCACTTTTATCCAGGAGACCCTCCGCCGCTCGCGTACTAGCTACAGTACCTTGCAGGTGGCCTTGTATTATTTGATTAAAATCAAGCCCCACGTGCCCACGCATGACTTCACCAAGGAGCAACCTCGGGATCAGTCGCCTTTGCGGGCGATGCAGTGTGGACGCCGGATGTTCCTGGCAGCGCTGATTCTCGCTTCAAAGTATTTGCAGGATCGGAACTATTCCGCTCGTGCCTGGAGCAAGATTTCTGGCCTTAATACTCTCGAGATTAATCAGAATGAGCTTATGTTCCTAAAGGCTGTCGGTTGGCGCCTGCACATCGATGAAGCAACGTTTCAGCGTTGGACTGATCTGGTCTTGAAGTTAACCCCTGGTGCCGGTGGTCCCCCGGTTGCTCAAGGTCAGTGCTGGCAGACTGTCCTACCCAGACTCACCCCTGAACTGGACTTTGTAGAGTCGGAGCCCATGACCCCAGTCTCGGCGATGGGAATGGATCTCGGTCTGTCAGACTTCCTCTCGCCTCGTAGTATGCCAAGCAACGAGTCAGTGCGCTCCGTGCCGCGCGAACAAACTCCGACTTATGCTCGGAGTCTTCCGCGAACCTTGGAGCCGACTCCGCGCATGGACTTTGCCAACCTGGCTTTGCCTAGTGTTCCACGGCCTATGATGCTTCCGACACCACAGATGACTCCCCAGCCTCAAGTGGTCCCCACTCCTGCCGCGAGTGTGGCTGCTTACAATCCCTGCCGCCCATCCATCTGTACGGCTATGTCTCAGGCGCAGAATGTGTGCATGGCGCGATCAACACTCGATCAGCGCCCGCCCCTGTCATTCTGCCCTCGGACCCAGTCGTACGATGGTTACCCGGCTGCGGCCCGTCGGTCATCTTTGGCTCGCTCGACCTCATCGGCATCGTCGCCTGACTCGATGGTTTCGGACGTTTCTACTCTGTCGTCCCGCTCTTCGCGGTCGTCATCTGTCTCGTCCAACGCCTCGGGTACTTCTGGCTTAGCACCAGCTAGTCTGGCTGTGAAGGCTGCATTGCGTTGCACTAGCAACTCTCTCAAGGAGTCCCGAAAGACTCTGGCCATTGCCTCTCCGATTGACGAGAGTTTGGTTGGTGTCTACAGTTCTCCTGAATATACCAGTTCTATGGGTTCTTCGGTCCCAGACCTGTCTAATTTTTCCCTGGATTCCAGCCTGAGCGAAGCTGCTCAGAGTCTCTGCGAACTTTCCGGTGCGACGCCCGAACGGCGCCAGTGCCGAAAACGCGGACGTACTGGATCCGATGATCTCTTGCTCCAAAACCATGTGCGCCATCTGATCAACCTCGGGGCCTCTGGAGATCACTCCGTGTTGCCTGATGGACATTTCCCACGGTCCTTCATGACGCAACACGGGTCCTCCATTGGTCCCGTGCGGACTGGCCCAGTCTCCGGACCAGCCGGCATGAAACGTGCCTGCTGTGGCAGCGAAGCACGCAAGATCGCGTTAAACCCGAGTCTCCGTGTTGCGGAATACTTGAATTGACTTGCGATTTATTAGCGGATATCTCTAATTTTTCTTATTTCCTTTGTGCGAGGCAAAAAAAGAAAAAGTCCGTCGTTTTGTGTTTTCCCCTACGACGACCTGACCCCGTTGTACATACCCCTATTTTCTCGGGCACTCGGTCGGACGTATTGGGACTTGGGCGTTTGATTCCCACGAAATGTACGATGGGGTGAAATGACTGGTATGTCTTCTACCTGCATCGTGCATCTGTTCTCTCAATTTTTTTTTTACCCTTCTTTTATCTATTGTGGTTGCGAACGGAGTGGTCGGCATGGGACGGTTATGGTCTTGTTTTTATTTACTCTGGTTACTGGGAGGGGGAAAGCGGGCGTCTATGCCCTGATTATACCTGTATCAACTCTTCCATCTAGGGAATGGTATATTTACCATCCCTGAGGCTTTGCCCTCGGATAGGATAGTCAAATCCAAATACAGCTCAACAGCGATATCGGCCCTCGTATCCCCTAAACCAACGTTCACATGACAGGTCTGACCGTGCAACCACGGATCTGCACTTCAGCTGTGAGTCATTCATGCGTCAAGGGTGGCGTGTGGCTCCCTGTGGCTGTGAACCATATGTGGCTGTGAACCTAAGGCGCGGCTAGCCCTAGGTTTCTAAGTATAGAGTGGGGCTTATGCACGGCACATATTGTTGACAGCTTTTGCAAGGAGCTTTGTATGGAGGACATTTCTTTCAGTCCCGGGGTGCTTGAGCATATGCAGACAAAAGTCCCGTTTCTATCTGCGGCCGATTTTAAACTCGACCAATACTGATACCTAGGGTGGGGGCTTACAAGGTCCTTGCTTTTCGGATATCGGCTTGGTCAGATGACATACTCCTGAGAAGGCAACTATGAATGCGATACATATACATGGGAAGATGATTTATCTATATCATATCATATTGATGTCTTCGGTGTCCTCTATATTGTTGGTATACAGCGAATGGTCATATCTAGTGTCGTCGTGGGGGTATACATGTGATCCAACCACCTCATAGGCGGTTACTATAACTCGCCAATACTCTTATGACTATTGGCGAAGGTGAGAAGGAGAAGGAAGAAATTATTCTTATTCGATCAGGAATAATGCAAGGTATGTATACCCTGATGTATGGCAAACAATTCACTCACTCTGAAAGCAAACATCGAGAGATGGGATCATCGAACAAATATGATTATCTTCCTTTTCCCCTCACAGCTGACATCTCATTCAATATCTATAGCCTCTTCTAGATTTTCTGACATAGTGTCTTCTTGGATGTCCTATATGCCTTTTTCAATGTCCTTATGCATGTTAGGGCTCTCCCGTCAAGTCGTTCCTTTCAAGGCTGCTTTTTCTTTCACGGATCTCTCTTTCACATCTTCTCTTCTCTCCTTCTCTAGCAGCCTCATCACATCCTCGTTGTATTCCCCCATTTCCCCTTTATCATAATATTCTCATTGATGTATTGAATACGACCTAGCCTCTCATCAAAGGCTTTGAGGGCGCAAGGGGGAGAACCCCCTAGGTCCACACTCGATTTGCCCGAGTCATATGTGACGAAGGTCAATCTGTGGGATCCGCCTCTGCCCACATCGAAGTGTGATGAAACTCACCCGTTATACAACGTGGTATCCATGACTACTTCGATGTGGAACAAACCCTTCGATCTCTGTTGCCTCCGACACGACATGGGCAACAAAAAGCTCGGTGCGAACACAAAAAGAGAGCCCGATTACGGCCGATAATCCCCTACTCCGAGTTTTCACGGTGAAAATCCGGTAAATAATGCATGTAAAGCGTGGGAATGACCTGCTGTCTTGTACTGCCAGCGGCAAAGCGGTTGCCTAGGAAATGCCGAGAACCGAAAACGAGGGTACGAGAACGAAAGCCTGGGCGTTATTTCATACATTTTCATAAGCCAATGGCAATGTGATTGAGGAATGTGTTTCGTCTCTATTGCTTCAAGTGTGGCAAAAAGATCGCAGAACCTGACTCGCGAAAGCCGAGAGACCAAGAACACGGGTGACTACCGTGTTCATGGCATCATTTACGCCAAAAACGTTGTACAAAGAATATGCTGTTCGGCAGCATCCCCATGAAGCGAATATTAACACGAACTTCGTCAACTTGCCGGGCACTATCTGTCTGTCAATGCCGACAGAACTGAAATGGGATAATGTACAGCGCCAACTCGATTTCAAGGTCAGTCTGAAATCCAGCCTTCTTCTTATGGGGTCAATGTTGAGCTTCAATCGTCTATTCCAGATAATTGGGCGGATCCAAAGAAGGATTGAAGTCAATGTGAGACTTGACTGATTTGGATTAGCTGAATAGAAGGAAGGAAAACTCAAGAAGCTATGAAAACAGTGAGGCCAATGAAGCATCAACTAGACTCTCATCTACCATCTTGTCATGGAGACCCCACCTCACATTTTGAGAGCGAGAGGAAGGATGTACATGTCAATTCTGAAGTCCTATGGTGTTACGAACCGCCCATACACAAGGGAGACAAGTACGACTTAATTAGCCGCCCTGATTGGTCTCTGTATGGTACGGAGACGTTGCTTGCAGCTATTGTTAAGGATTTTGAAGTCAAAACTGGAGCATTTGTCACACTGTGGCATCGCATGCACTCGGAGCATCTGGTTCCTATACCGTTCTTTGGGAGAATGTCGGCTAAGGTCGGGTTCATTCTCGAGTATGCTGCCGTCTCCTCGGAAGAGGACTCGTCCTTAGAATGCCCCGAGGATGAGGGCCTAACTGTTCAGCTGCTATGTTTATTAGGAATTTGTAGTTTTGGGGAGTCGAATTTCCTGATCTAGATATACAATTCTAGGAGATTCTTACTGCTCGGTGAAATCGAACCAACCTCGAAGTTCAAGTAGAATAGGCTATCATTAGTGGCTAATTACTTATAGCTAACTAAACCTTCTAATATTCGAGTAGGGGTGCGAGTGTACTGTTGCTGCCCACAACAACAACTTCCAGGATTATCTATGACACAGGTAATGGCGATAAGCTACAGCTGCGCGCAACTGAGTTGAACATGCATGCTCAATACAGCCGCCTAGTTCTGACAGAGCTAGCGTTTGATTTCAATCTCTTCTAAACCACTGGAAGAATCCACCGATTAGGCCAGGTGTTGTGGGTTGTGACGGCTGGCCTTGCTTTTACATTTGCAGTAGTTACAACGACTAATCTCCATTCTCACCTTCAAAAATGCATTGGGATATCCCAATATCTAGGTCTTGTTCTTCTCGTTTTGCTTTTTATGCGTAATTTCCCAGAACCGATGTCATATTGGCCAAGAACAGCCAGCTGTACTTGGAACCGGAGACGGTTGGGGCCTGCTTGGCAAATACATAATTACCGCATTTCACAAGAGGCCTAGGGCTCCCGGAAGTCCCGGGAAGTTAACTCCATAATGGCGTTCAACAGATGAACGAGCATCACGGAGAGACTAAGACGTTGTTGCGAACTGTTGTGCAAAGTCAGGACCCGGTCGACAAGCAAGTTCAGAGGTCAATTTATTCCCCCCCAAGGATTCCGGAATTTCAAGCACCACATGCTTGATCCACATAGTATCTAGCAGATGCGACACAACAAGTATTGGAGAATCACCGGTGAGGTATAAACCAGAAAAATCCAAAGTGGCGCCACTGGCGGCTAAAGAATGCCGTAGATGACCTGATCAGATAAGATTGCCATCAGCTAATGTCTCCGCACTTCCCACCGGAACATTTCGTTCTTCTTCTTATGTCCTATAAAGGTCTGGAAGTTTTTGAAATACCATCTTATCTATCTGATTAGCCGTCAAGATGGTCTCTCGTTCGGCTATTCTTACGGGTGCTCTCGCACTACTTTTACCCCTCACGGCCCACGGCTTTGTTATCCCACCGGAAGACAATCTCCAAGCCTTTCTCGGACAACTAAACACCTTGAACCCAAGCCCAAATTCTGAGATTATTGACGATGCAAGTACTTTAAGCCGCCCATCATGGTTCACTTCGACTTTGATGGCCCGCCGCCTGCTTGCTTTGTCCCCCTCCGGCGTAATCTCCACCAACTTCCCAGACTCTCTCCCACCCTCCGCACACGCTCCTTCAGATGTTGCCGGTCTCTCTATTGCACTGCGCGAGTACATAGCTGACTGTGATGGATCCCTGCCATCGGATCTATCTCATGATGATAACGGCGACCCAACAATTCTTGGCCTCCGCATTGGCACTACTTTTAAAAACATTGCAGCGGGATCTAATCTCAGTCTCCAGTTGGACTGGTGGGACCATCTCAATGAGGCTGGTCCGGTCTATCCTGGTCTTCCCCTAAGCCCTGCTGCTCTACCTCGCGTCACTCTCTTTGGATACTTGGAGAATCTCCCGTCCCCACTTCCGGATGACGCAGCTGCAGCGCTCGAGAAGTGTTTCCTGGAGCCACATCCTGATGCAAAGGTCTGGATACCTGGTTCTTCTTACTCGCCACATGCAAGTTTCTGGGCCCGATTGGTGGTTACACATGCTTACTGGATTGGTGGATTTGGGGACGTGCAGCAGATTGGGTGGATCAATCTCACTGAGTGGCAGGGGGATCAGACCACACGGCAGTGTGGAGGGCGTTGGCGATGGAAGGGGATGGCAGGATGTCCGTTTGCCCGGGGAGAAGCAGTAAGGGGAGTACCTAGGTACTCGGTACTTAGGGATCGACGAATGACTGGGGGTAGCGACGATCGCATTAGTTGTCTTTTTTTTTTGCATTAGACCCAGCATGGATAGCAATTAAGCATATCTCGATATCTTTACATACTCAATGAGTTTTACGAGGTACTTTTGGGCTCTCCTTCTCATTCGTCCCCCTGTGCTTATCTGCACAACGCACGCTTATCATTTCAAGGATTCTTATCATCATCCTTGTGGTGCACGGGACAGGGGGGCAAATCTGGGGAATAAGAAGACGTTGAATCTGCATTTTTTTAAATCTCGTCTTATGTTTCATATTGAGCTATTCCACTTGTGTTGTGGTGGTCAATCAATACATAAAAAGGACCGGGGCCCAACCCCTCCTTACATTCAGAACATCCATCTCACTCATTACATCTCCAATCATGAGATTACGCATCTCTAGACCGCATGTACGGGTCTCACAGGGTGAATCTGCATTTGCCGCAGGCAATGCCCGGTGGACGAATCGTGATCTCGACCCGATTGCCAAGAATGCGCGCAAATGGGGTGTACTCAGTATAGTAGGTACGATACAGTATACTTGTGCTTATATTTTGTAAAAATCAAGCTGGGGCTAATAAAACATACTATTAGCATATTGGATCTCCGATGCTTTGCAAGCCGCGACCTGGCAATTCGCCAGCGGTATGATTGCCGTCGGCCTCACATACCGTGAAGCACTCGGCATCGTCGCCTTATCCTTCTTCATCATTTCATTGGTTATCGCAGCAAATGGTACCGTGGGTGCCATATACCACGTGCCATTTCCCGTTATCGCACGTGCCAGCTGGGGCTTTTGGGGCTCATATATCGCTATCATTTCACGAGTTATACTTGCTGTCTTCTGGTTTGCGATCCAGAATGTCAATGGCGGAAATGCAGTTCGTGTCATGATTGGAGCAATCTGGCCAAGCTTTTTGGAGCTTCCAAATGGTATCCCCGAGTCACAGGGCATCACGACCAGCGGTATGGTCGGATTTCTACTCTTCTGGCTGCTCCAAGTTCCATTTCTATGCATGCACCCAAACAATTTGCGCTGGCTTTTTACAGCCAAATCAGTTGTGGTTCCTATCACCTGGTTTGCTATCTTAATATGGGCATTCGTCAGTGTGAAAGGTGGTGGTGGTGTCTTTGACCAACAGGCCCCAACCGTCTCCGGTTCCAAGTACAGCTGGCTGTTCTTGGCCAATATGACATCGGTTCTGGGGAATTACGCACCCTTGAGCTTAAACCAGAGCGATTTCAGTCGCTACTCTCGCGTCAGTGTGAAATGGCAGCTCCTCTATATCCCCATGCTTCCTATGGTATTCACATTTTTCTCATTCATTGGCATTGCCGCTTCGTCCGCCGGTCAGGCTCACTATAAGCTCGAGTCCATTCCATGGGACCCAATGGTTCTTATCAGCTACTGGCCCAACCGTGCGTGTCGGTTTTTCGCCGCCGCTTCCTTCACACTAGCCGCTCTGGGCGTGAATATCTCGGCGAACTCTCTCTCAGCCGCTAACGACTTCACCGCACTAGCACCACGCTATATCAATATCAGGCGTGGCCAGCTTCTATGTGCTTTGTTATCCTGGTGTCTTGTTCCCTGGAAAATCCTTGCATCGGCCGGCAACTTCCTCAATTTCATGTCTGCATATGCCATCTTCCTTGGCCCTATTGCTGCAATCATGATGTTTGACTTTTGGGTTATCAATCGTCGTCGATATGACTGTCTCGCTCTATACCAGCCGAATAATCCCACATATCGGTATACATTCGCTATCCCGGGTCTCGCGGGCAAGACTATGTCTGGTACAAACTGGCGCGCTGTGGTCGCTTTTATTGTTGGCGTTGTGCCGTCTCTTCCTGGGCTGATCAACTCGGTAAACTCTCATATTGATGTTGGTCTCGGTATACATCCATTTGAGTTTGGGTGGCTGTTGGGCTTTGTTGCGACTTCTATTGTATATCTCCTGTTATCATGGCTGTTCCCTGCGAAGGAGACCCAGGTCGACCGCGCTATTCTACCCGATGAGATATATGATAGAGGTACTGTGCTGGATGGACTGGAATCAGACGATCCGGACAGGAAGGATGTGGTTACTGATACACAGGAGAAAGATGTTGAAAAGGCTGTCTAGGCTTTCTCTGATAATTATGTGGAGTGGTATGTACATATCTATTTGAATAATTAAGTACAAACTCCAATAATAGTCGATCTTTAAGTTGGATTTTGCCGTTGACAGTATCAAAAGATGAGTATCCTGCATATTGTAGGCGACTACGGAGTAAATGCACTGATTATATTGCCGTGCAGTAAGTTAGTCATCCACTCCCGAGAGGGTCTCACCTATGGATGACTAAGTATATCATGCGAGATGGATTTCTCTCATTGGATATTGACTTACCGCTGGTCTCACCGCCATTTCGATACCCTAATTTCAATCTCTCTTTTACCTCTATAAAACTGCACACTTCGTAATGGTGCAACTAGCCATTTATGAATAGTATCCAGCTAGGTCTTTTTCGGTGGTCTTTGAAGCAGTGTTTACAGCAGTGTTTACAACAGTCTTTTCAGTAGTCTTTCTTGTAGGTTTCTTATATTCTTCTTAGATATCTTAAAGACAGTACTCCACCTTTTCGGTCTTACAGGTAGACAGCAGAAAAAGGAGGGCAAGACATACCTTGTGTAAGAGGCCTTTCTATATATGACCTTGAATATATCTTAATAGCTGTTTGAAGTAAGCCTTAACACTTCAAATACTATTACCTGTCAATGCCGCAACCACTCATCTATCATTCCTCCCCCTTGAGGGTATCCACGCATGCCCTAACCAATAGACCTTCGCAAAGCCCACAAATGGGCCCGAATCCTAGGCCCAAGGACCGATCCTCAGTGGGCTATGGGCCTTACCTTCGAAGCCCAATCCAACCCATGGGCCAGAGCCCATCGAAGCCCATCATGAGGGTCTTAGCGCTTACAAATCGGCGTATTGTAATTGTGGTAAGCTAGCCTTCCACTAGTCGTATAGAGATTGAATTTGTAATATAGATGAGAAGTACCTCTCAAAGTGTATCCTCCTAATTTAAACAAAGACTAACTGGTACAGGTCGAGATATCGCAGAAGTATTGATATCAAATTTAGGCGTGAGTACTAATTACCATTTTCCTGGTGAACCACTATAATTTATAAATTCTTTACATAGCACGTTCAAAAGCCATGAACTGGTAAGAATCAATTTCTGTATAAATAACACTATTCCTCCTAGTAGTGGATGCATATTCCAGATCTCTCGGAGATATACTCCAAGTGGACACTACATCCGTCGCGTAGACAAATATTCAGTATCTGATCCGTCTCTGCCCTCTTCTGTTCCTCAGAAGTGGCGATGTTCCGAACGATTCCGAATCCTTCCAGCGTGTCTTCTTTTCCTTGGATCTCTTCCCGAACTGCTTGTATCTTGGACGGCTCGAGGTGGAAGGCTAATGGTCTTTTTGCCATGTGGAACTTGTAATGTAGATCAAAGTAATCAATCCGAAAGACTCGTGCCCGACGTACTTGAACGAGTACTGAAAAGGACTGCTGAAAAAGACTACTGAAAAGACTATTCTGTATTGGAAGGACTAGATACGAAGTAGTCTAAGGCCTGTATAGTTCATAGTGTGAAGTTATTGTATTATATCTTCTTTGGCTTATTAAGCCTGAACTTCTGAGATACCCCGTTTCATCGAGCAAGAGGTGTAGGATTACAAGTCTGTGAATGAATGAGATATTGAAGATTAGTATACAATTTGAAATGCTATATATGCTTCCAAATGAGAGTTGTATCTAGCTGGCACACATATACTTAGTCGCCTGTAATTTCCATTTGACCGGAGACGATATGGGCGACGCCGCATCTGATCAGACCAGATTGTGTTCTTGAATGTACTCTTCGAGGTTGCTTTTCTGATCATGGAGTTGCAATTGGACTGGTAACATTTTTGTGATATTAGGGCATTGTTTCCTAGTTTGAGCGTCACATGGTAGCAACGTGACCGGCCCGGTCCTTTCATGATAGCCATGGCTTATATCTATCGACCCAATTATATGATGTCGCCATTAAGGATTCAATGCTGTGTCAAAATGGCCTATTATCTATGCCTCGGGAGCAACACGATCTGGTTATATTTCCGTAAATGCCCAATGAGTATTTGTTTTTGAAGGTGTGTCAAGGGAAATGTTTCATAAAATGGTGAAGTGATCTGAGGGCCCGAAAGGGCAATGTTGGAGCGCTGGAAGACAACAGAAAATATTACAAGATGATGTTCATCATTGGTCTTTGAGACTATTGGTTTCGCTATGTGACAAAGCATGACATCGTCATGTGGATGCTCACAAATACATGGAAATTGGCCTTGCGGCGTTTATTTGCGCTTAGGCTTGGGTCGGATGAAAGGGTCTGAGTCCTTCTTTTTCCGCATCATCGGGGGTCGGGGCTTGGGAGGACCTTGGTTAGCAGCCTATATTGATAATATATTAGTGTGAGTGATCAATAAAGAAGATCAGCCAAGAACATGGCGCTTACATCTGCTCCTGGTCTCGTTGGCAAAGCCCTCGTTGGGTCATTTTCGGTCGGATACGCCTGGCCATCGCGAGAAGGCTTGATGAGACCCTAAGAAATTGTTAGTACGCATGAAAGCTGATTTTTGATTCGGTGAAACTCACTCCTGGTGGGCCGTTGTTTGGCGGGCCTTTGTGACTATTGCCAGCATTGGCCCCTGGGTTGTCGCGAGGGGGACCAGAGAGACCCGGATGACCACCGACTCTCGAGGCATTCGGACCACGAGCAGCATTAGGACCAGATAGACCCGGGTGACCACTACCCAATGGGCCTCTTGGAGCATTGATTGGAGGGTTCGGCTGTCCAGTACGAGGACGTTGCGTTTGTGGTCCACCAGAGGCGGATTCTTCACGCTTTCTCTTTGCGGGATTATCAGCATGTTTTATTGGCGGGGTTGAAGTAGTGGCTTGGACAGTAGGGACTTTAGGGTTGTGTCCTCCCAGTTGACGTTCTCGCTGACGCTCAGCGTTCGCATCTTGACGTTGCTTAAGGTTAAATTCCTCTCTCTGGATACGAGATTTCTCGAATTTCGTGAGAACTTTCGTGGATTTGCAGTCCTGGGACACATGCCCACATCCGCCGCATTCACCACATCGTGCAGCACGGCAGGAGATCCTGCTGTGACCCGGCCGACCGCAGCGGAAACAGGTTCCTCGAGCATTGTCCTTTGCCTCGTCATTGTCGCAGTTGTGAGTGAAATGGTCGGCGCTTCCACAGATCCCACACATTTTCGTTGTGTCTAGACCCTTGCCTCCCCCAGAAGGCCCATCAGGTCGTGGAATTGGAGGTGTACCACGCCCAGAGGCAGACACCGAGACGGAGCGCGAGTCAAGGCCAATAGAGGCCGACGAAGGTCGAGAGATTGGTGGCACAGGGGGTTCATATTCGGGAGAGGAGCTTCGCTTTTCTTCGGCATCAAGGTCGACCATCTCGATCTCTTTGTAACCGGTGAACTGCGGCTTCTCCAGCATTTTCACAATATCACCCTCCGTGTAGACATTTCGTTCCCGCGCGTTCTTGATGAGTCTATTCCAGAATTGACCCTGCTCTAGAGATTGCGAATTACCTAGAACCCAAAGCGATGACTTGGCACGGGTGAGACCAACGTTCATACGGCGGATATCAGCCAAGAAACCAATACCTTTGTTGGATGCTCGCACACAGGAGAAGATAATGACTTCGCTTTCTCTACCTTGGAAAGCATCGGTTGTATTGAAATCAACCTTCTTCAGAATGTCTTCGCCATATCTTTGAGTAAACTGGTTCTTGAGCTCTCTTAGCTGGCCCTTGTAAGGTGTGATGATGCCAATCTTGCCCGCAAAGTCATATTCCTTGACATCTGTGATCAAACGATGATACAGTTGCATGGCCACTTGTAACTCCGCATAATTGATCAAGGAATGGCCCCTGGCCGCAGATGAGTGCATGCCCTGAACATCGAAGAATCGGTAAGGACTGAGAAGTTCGCTGTGATGCCAGGGACGCTGGCGCAGCTTAGCCATGTCCGGTCCATCCTGCAATTTACCATCGTAGAAAGTGACACTGGGGAAATTACTGATGGCTGGGTGCATACGGTACTGAATATCCAGCAAGTGCACGTCCTGAGGATGATTCTTCTGCATGCGGACGAACAAACTCTGTTCGTACTGGAACTTGGAGGCCATTTTCGACAGAACAGTTGGAGGCAACTGTTTGGGATCACCGACAAGAACACACTTTGAGCAGCCGTACTTCAGTGGGATGAGAGCACTGAGTTCAATACACTGTGCTGCCTCATCGATGATAACAGTCTCAAACTCAACGTTCATACCCTGGAAAAGTTCGTGTCCCGAACCACTGAGAGTAGTGCAGATAACATGAGATTCGTTAATGATTTGTTCTTGGATCCGGCGTTTATGCATATCAGCGTTACGGGCCAGCGTATGGTTCTGATCACGGGCTTTATCGATGGCCGTGCTCAGTTGAGACCGCTTCTTTTTCATCAAGTCGAACTCGCGCTCCAGCTCTTCCGGAGGAGGCAACCCCTTTGCTCGTGCTTCGTCGAGTCTCCCACGAAGCTCTTTGAATGATGTATCAGTTGTTTTATGCTCTTCATAGAGCTTTTGCAGGTCGACACCATTTCCCTTGCTGGGATCCTGGTTCAGGCGGGTATTGACCATCTCATCGAGGGTAACATCCAACACCTTAGTATTGATTGCGTCGCTTCTTCCTAGACGAAGAACGGAGACCTTCTCTTGCCGACCGTGAGTTGTCCTCACACCTTCCTTCAATCGCATGACTAACTCGTCGACAGCGGCGTTACTGGGTGCACACAGGAGAAGTTTCTTTGAAACGGCATTTCTCGTCGAGGCACCATTAACTTTGATCACTTGTTTCCCAAGCACGTCACTCAGGAGACTTCCGACAAGTGCAATGATGGTCTTTGTCTTTCCGGAACCAGGAGGACCCTGGATAAGAGTAAACGCATCGTTGTCAACAGCCGACTTGATGGCTTTGGCCTGAGCACGATTGATGGAGTAATTATCCATGATGGGCT